GGACAAGTAGATCTCCACAGGCAAAAGACAGAAAGAGGACCCCTGTATCTCTCCCTGTACCCATTCAATTCAAAGCAGAGCAAGGATGTTAATGCAAAGCCTGAAACTAACATAGAAAAGAATAGGGAAAACACCAGAACTTAGTGGCACTGACAATAACTTCCTAAATAGAACTCCAGTAGCTCAGCAAATAGGAATGAGGATTGACAAGTGAGGTCATAGCAAGCTGAATGGCTTCTGCACAGCAAAAGATGCATCCGCTAGGCTGAAAAGGCAATCAGTAGAACGGGAGAAATTCTCTGCCAGCCTTGCACCTGACGGACCAATAACCAGAATAGCCAAAGAACTCACATAAAGAATCCAAAGAACTGATAACCAATTAATAAATGGGAAGATGAACCAAACAGACACTTCTCTAAAGAAGTACAAATACAGGAAGAAATGTCATCAAGGAAATGCAAACTGAAACGACACTGAGGTTCCCTCTTACTCCAGTCAGAACGGCCATCAGCAAGAACACAGCAGCAAGTGCCGGTGAGGATGGGGGATGGGGAAGGATCCACTGTGGAAACTGGTGTGGCGGTTCCTCCACAACTAAAAACAGAGCTAGGCCTGTAATCCTAGCTACTCAGGGGGCGAGACAGAGAATGGGGAGTCAAAGCTGGCTCAAGTAGAAAAGTCCAAGACTCCATCGCTAATTCACCAGCAAAAAGCTGGGCTGAAGATGTGGCTCAAATGGTAGAGTGCCGGGTGTGAACAAAGAAGCTGAGCAAAAGGGCCGACACTGCAGCACAATTTACCACAGCCAAGCCACGGTCATAGCCCAGAGGCCCTGCAACTGTAAGCGGGTCAAGAAAATGTGATAAATATATTCATTTGCAGGGAAGAGAGGGTCTGATCTGGCGCCACAGTAAGAGAAGCCAGGTTCAGGAGGACAAAGGTCACATCTTCTCTCGTATGTGGCTGCTAGACCAAAAATATAAACATATACGTGAACATATTCAAGGTCATGTGTACATGATCAATGTGACAAAAGCATGCCACATGCATGTGTGCTATTCCATATGAAGTCCCTTTAAACAACTAGCATGCACTTTGACAAAAAAGAGTGCCTCCTGACTGGGGACAGGACAAATACAGTCGAATAGAACAATGAGGCTTGCTGAGACCGGACAGAAGGGGGAGGACGGTCCAAATCCCACCAAGATGCATTATATACAGAAGCGGGACACGTGCACAGGAAAACTCCTGCTCCGATTAACTGAAGCGAATAGAAAGTGGACAAGATACTTCATAAGACAAGAAACACAATGGGCTAGTAAAGACATGGCAGACAAGGCCACTTGTCCCTGGGAAATGACCGATAACCCTCCTACCAGGGGCTGCTGAGGGGCAGTCAGGCAGCCTGGTCAGTGGAAAGTGTCTTCTGAAGGGCAGCCTATCTTTCCTGTGACTCAGAGGCGCCACACAGGTGTTGGTAAAGAGAAAGGAAAAGTACAGCAGATGCATGCGTGACGATGCCCGTGGCAGTCAGACACACCTCGCTCACGTAGGGTAGGAGAACCAGGAAGTTATTCTGGGGGGGGGGGGAGGGTGGCAGAGGGGAAGGGCTGTGATACCCACATCAAGCTGTCCGTCCCAATGGGCACATTTCACGGTGTGTAATTTTAGTCTTCAGCAGAGGAAGCTGGGTTAAGAATTGAGAAGTCCCTGTTCCCCAGCCCCGAGGGTGCCGCTCAGCTCAGTGGTCCCAGTGGGATCAGGGCCGGACGCGGCTTGCTTCATCTCATTCCACTGGTTCCCTTACTAGTGTTTTCTCTTGCTTTTGTGAGCCACAGGGAAACATTTCCCTGCCTGAATGCTGCTCTGCCTTCCCCCAGGTTGCTTCCCTGCTTTTAATCTGAAGAGCGTATTTACTTTCAACCATCAGAGAACGTCCCAAAACCTCTCACCAGGTGCAGGCAGAAGCGGGCTGTGACACCTCCTCCACCGTGACCCCAACATCGTCAGCCTACCATGGCCGAGGCCTGCAGCTCCCTGCGACCCTGGCCTGCACTGGCCAGTTCCTTTGCCCCCTGCCTTGTACTTAGGTGTCAAATTCAAACTTCACTGTGTAAGCATTACCTTGATCATTTGTTTCACTGTTGGTGTGACCCCCAGAGTCTGTTTAGAAACCATGAACCTGGGTGAGCGGCTACAGTGGGCAGATCACCGCCACAGCGGCCTTCATAACCAAGTGACTTTCTGACTCCTGGCTGACACCCTGAACACGCTGAGCACACAGCTTTGGGACACAATGTCCCCAGCAAGTGTGTGCCCAGGCCCAGCACTGGCATGTCAATATTTACCAGGCTTTTTATTTCTTGGTGCCATTCTTGGGACTTGAACTCAAGGGCTGGGCACTATCCTTTAGTTTTTTGTTTTGTTTTGTTTTTTGCTCAAGGCTTGCACTCTACCACTTGAGCCACAGTGCCACTTCAGTTTTCTGAGTGGTTTACTGGAGATAAGAGTCTCACAGGCTTCCTGCCTGGGCTGGCTTTGAACCGCGATGCTCATCTCAGCCTGCTGAGTAGCTAGGATGACAGGCGTGAACCAACTACCATGCATTCTTACCTGATGGAATGCAAAATACCAAAACAGAAACAACTCTGCTGTTTTCAAGAACAACTCTAAGCACATCCAAGATGCTGTTGTATATATGATCCCTATCACAACACTCATGTGATCCTGGTAAAAAGAAGGGAAGGACCACTTCCTGAGCTGTGAGACTGACCGAAATCCAAGCACGTGATAGGAATAAACCTAGAAAAACAACATGGCTCTGTGGGTACCCAAGGACCAGCAGACCCAGGCCTGGGAAATGGCAGAGCCCTGGCACACAGAGAGCTCTGGGAGACAGAGAACACTTGCTAGAAACACACAAGTCTGAGGTTACTTAGAATAATGCAATAATTTTAACCACGAGACATGAATTTCTGGAAAACCCTGCATGATTTAGCAGCACAGTGCACATGCTCCTCAGAGCTCCTGTGAAGACGCCCACACTGGACGGTGCGGCCCAGGAGGCAGCAAGGGACATGCGCTTTTACCATCACTCACTTCACCTATCCAGGGCCAGGGATGGGTCACCCCACTGCTAAGAGGGGGGCACCAACCACAGCCTAATGCCCTCCTCATCTCCAAGCAAAAATGGTGCCAGACCAGAGTTATACATGCTAAATGTCTGTCTTAGGGCCTCTGTGCATCTCCACATGGAGTTCTGTAGCTGCTTTGAGATGGAGTCTCACTGGCCTCCTGCAAGATCCTCCTGCTACAGCCTCCTGGGTGCTGGGGTCGCAGGTATGGACCACCATGCCGGGCTGAGCAATTAGAATTGTAAAGTCACCAAGAACATTTGAAATTGAGGTTGTCTTATCACTGAATATTTCCCACAAAAACCAACTCATCCTACCTATGAGAAAATGAGGCCAAAACGAGGCCACCGTTTATTCATGGCTAATCACCTTGCAAAACCACTTCTTAATTAGCTGGTCACTCGATGCCTGTCACACTGGCCTGTCACACCCTTCGAGCCCACCTGCATTCCACAACACTAAGTCCGTCCTTCCTTCCTATTGTCTTTTGCTGCCCACTTCAGTTCTAAGTTAACAACCCTATCTTTCCATCTGTCAACTGATACCAGAAACATCTGTGGACAGCCCTGGGACGGGCTCTGGGTGCCCAACCTCTTTGGCCTGCGTGAAATGCCACATTATCTATTAGACTCACTTCAAGTCAGAACTCCCTTCCCTTCTCGGTCACAGTCCTCTGAGTGATTTTTACATTTGTAAAGGAGCTGACAGCATTATGCATCTAAATCATCTCCTTTGGCTACGTCTTAATACTTTAGTTTTTGAACAGAAAACATGAAAGGAGAGCCAAGCTAGTGAATTTCCCACTCTGGTGCCTCTTTACAAACGTTTCTAAGGATTTCCTTGGAGCATTCTAAGAATTTAGAGGTGAGAATTCGAGACGCCTCTGGCTAATTCCCTCTCCCCTCCTCCTCCCCGCCCACAGCAGCATAGGATACCCCCACCCCTGGGAGGGGGTAATCCCTTGTTCCTGGCGCTGCACCTCCTCTTGAAAAGCTGTATCTTCCTATGCTGCCTGGCCTGGCCCAGGGGACACAGGGCCGCCCAGGGCCGCCCGGCGGAGGGTGGCCGTGCAAGGACAGCTGACTATCGCCCCTGGCACCAGACACCAGGCTCGAGTGACGGCCCCAGCTGTCGTAAGAGTCAGGGCCCACTTGGCTGGCTCTCTACGAGGAGCCAGCTGAGCCCCTAGGCAACTGTGAAGGCTCAAGTCCCAGGCAGGGGTGACCAGTCCCCTGCGCTCTCCACCGTACCTCACACACGCACAGCAGGCGTGTCATACAGGCCAGTGCATCACACGTACACCGTGTGCCATCCACACATCTGCGGCAGGGTGTGTGGAATGCCTGGGCTCACTTCCTCTGACGCATGTAGCCAGTCTTCATGCGGAATGTCACCAAGTCTTAGCCTTATAAATGCTAAAGGGCAAATCAAGGCAAGGAATATCGATTTGGGCAGACTTCAAAATTTGTTGTTCAGACTAATGACATGAATGAAGCTCAGCGCCTGTGGCTCACACCTGTAATCCTAGCTATTCAGGAGGCCAAGATTTGAGGATTGCACAAACACCAGAGACAGTGCCCAGGCCCAGAGTCCAAGCCCTCCTGCCAACAGAAACAACGCATGATTGTGAAAGGGGAACCTGGCAGCAGGAGTCAGGGGTCGGGGTCAGGGGACGCAGAGGGAGCTAAGGACGGACGTAAGCCAGCTGCATCACATATATGTGTGGCCATACCATAAGGAGACCCACCGAAGTTATTTAAAAAGGGGAAGAGGGAGAGGACAAGAAAGGGTCAGAGCGGGGTGAATGTGGTCAGAGCACAGTATATGCATCTGGAAATCCCGTGGACAAGGTGTAGATGTCGTTACCTGGGGTGACGGTGAGCTGAAAGCAGTGGAGCTTGTTTGGATCAGGAAAGTGCACTCTGCAGGTACCTGCAAGGGAAACAGCACTTGAGAAGGCGGCAGAGCCTCTGCGGGCAGGCTCCCCGGGACCACACGGAAGCCCTCGGAGAGGGTTCACAGGCGGCCTTGCTGAACATCCTCCCCTCCCCCCCACACACACACAGTGTTTGTTACTGATCACACCAACAGGCTCAAAGGGCAAACCAGGTTTTGTCATTTGGTTATCTCTTTCTAACAATTCCAAGTGCAGATATTTGCTTTCAATCTTTCAATCATTAAATGGTCACTAAAAATAGACCTTCTCATTCATGTCAAGAATTATGCTACTCACTTGGGAAAGAAGAAAGCATACCTCAGGGAAACAAATATACATTGGTAAAGGCAACTAAACATGGAAAAATCAGTCTGCGCACTCAGCACGGAGCCCACGCAGACCCTAGCGCGTGGCTGCTGGGGGAGGCGCAGGAGTAGCACGCTGCGGCAGGCGCCCCAGACATGGTCTGCATCATCTATCTCCCCGGCAACTTGCTCGGATTTTGTTGGAGGAATGATGCCACTCAGACAGCAGCGTTCTGGGTCTACCAGTCCCCACCCAGAAGTGGCTTAGACCAGGACAAGGGGTCTCCTGGGGGAACACGCATGGCCCTGCGGAAAGGCAGCGAGACCCCAGCCCAAAGAACTGAGGGCTTGGCTCAAGTGGCCGAGTGCTCTGTGAAGTGTTACATTCACACTCTACTACAACTAAGGACTCTTGCTGGGTTTCTTTTTTAGAGTTGAAGGTAATTCAATCTAAAACAGCGTGCCATCTCAGATCACATCATGGCTCTGTTTTTAGCTGAGGAACCGCCATATTAGCTGCACTATGTGCCTTCCCAGCGAGTGTGTGTGTGTGTGTGCGTGTGTGTGTGTGTGTGCACGCGCGTGTGTGTATGTGTGTGTGCGTGTGTGTATGTGTGTGTGTGTGTGCGCGTGTGTGTATGTGTGTGTGTGTGCGTGTGTGTATGTGTGTGTGTGTGCGTGTGTGTGTGCGCGTGTGTGTGTGTGTGTGTGTGTGTGTGTGTGTGTGCACGCACGCATGTGTGTGAGGGCTCTTTCCTCCCGCACCACACCGGCATGTGTTGTCACTGTTTCTTTGATGACTGCCATTCTGACTGGAGTGATGTGGAATTTTAAAGTTCTGATTTGTATTTCCTTTATAGCTAAGGAGTTGAACATCTTCTGTTCACATATTTTTATTGGCCATATAAATGTTTCTTAAGAACTGTTCAATTCATTTCTTACCTGCTGACAGGACTATGTGTTCTTTTGGTATTTGATTTTTTGAGTTCTTACCCATATCCCCCTCCAAAAAAAAAAAAAAAGAGGAAATCTGGTATCCTGAGTAAGAAAATTGCTCTGTAGTTTACAGCTTTCCTTTATGTTCTATGTTTGTTCATGCATTACAGGCATGTACCACCACACCTGGTTTGTGTTAGTTCTTCTTTCAAGGATTGATAATCCAGAATTCTGAAGACATTTTGACTAAGAATACATTTTATAAACACAATCTAAATAAACATTATACATCAAAAACAAATTTCAAGAAACAACTTAAACCTACCCTCACTAACGAACTGCAAAACCACTCCAGGCCTGCATGCAGCCATCACTTTCCTCACTTTCAGTGGCAGTGGATGTGACCACTAACAGGAACAGTCTGTCTGGTACTGGCTCAGGTGCCTCTCCACTCACTGAGAACGTGGACAGAGGGCATGGAAGAGGTCCCAACCCTAACCAGACCCCTCCTCCATGTATCACTGTCCATTTGGAAAGACTACAGGATCTCAGATCCTCTAAAAAATTTACCTTTCTGCATAAAACCAAAATTCATTCCTAACATACATGAAAAATAGGCCACTAAAACATAAAAGCTTTTCTCACGTAATTCATTCAGGGTACTAATTTGACTAAGGAAGCTATACTTACAAGGTAAATTAGCTTCAAGTTCTGCAACTTCTGTAGAAACAAAGAGAGTATGGTTAGTATCAGTCTTTGCTAGTTGCAAATCAGCAATTTCCTCTGGAACACAGAAGGAAATAATAAACTAGATGAACTGAAATCTAGTCTAGATTTTAAGCTATTTAGACAAATGCAGTCAACAATTTTTGAAAACCGCCTTTAGTAATCATGTTAAATTAACATAGAAATGATAAGAAACACAGAAATCTAAAATAAAGATGAGGGAGACTAGCTATAGCCAATAAAATTAATATTCTCTCTGATGTTCATTAAATGTAACATAGTTTACACACACACCCCTCTGCAAATCTGATTCAGAGTTACCAAGGATCTATTCTTTTCCCAGACCTGTCCTCAAGTTACATTTCTTGGCCTGAGTCCTCTGTTCTTGGGCCTCAACCACCCATTTCCTCTTAATCCATCTTTTAGCAGGCATTTAAATCCAGAACCCCTCTGCAAGAAACAGCTGCAGCACTCCACCAATTCGGCCATCCGAGACTGAGGCCAAAGGCACCAGGCCTACTCTCTCTCCACCTGCATTCAAAGCAGTGCTAGAAGAATGAGCAAGAACAAACCGGCTCACGCAGACAGGATCCTGTGGATGACGCTGAAACCCCCACAAAAAATGTAACATGGAAGTACAGCAGTGGCTCAGGTGGTAGAATGCCAGCCTTAAGCAAAAAAGTGAATAAGAAGACAAAGCCATGAGTTCAAGCCCCAGTACTGGAACAAAAAACAAACGAAAACAAGCACTAATAAATTCAGTAAAGTTGCAGGATACAAAACTAATACATAAAGAACCATTTGTTCAAAAAATAAATTGTAATCCGGGTGTTTGTGGGTCACACCTGATAGTAGTACTAACTACTCAGGAGGCCGAGATCTGAGGATTGTGGTTTGAAGCCAGTTTAGGCCCCCAAAAAGCTCGAAGTGGAGCTGTGGCTCAAGTGGGAAAAAAGAAAAATCTAACAAACAGCACCCAAGGCCCCAAGTTCAAGCCCCAGGACCAGCACGCACATGTATACACACACCACACACACACACACACACACACACACACACACACACACACACACACACACACACACACACACACACACACACACACACACACGCTGGGCACCAATGACCAGCACGCACATGTATACACACACCACACACACACACACACACACACACACACACACACACACACACACACACACACACACACACACACACACACACACACACACACACACACACACGCTGGGCACCAATGACTCATTCCTATAATCCTAGCTATTCAGAAACAGAGGAACAAGGTTCAAAGGTGGGGCAGGAAAGTCTACGAGTCTTATCTCCAATTAACCACCCAAAGGACAGAAGTAAGCTGTGGTTCAAGTGGTAAAGCATTAGGTCTTGAGCTTAAAAAAAGCTCAGGGATTGTGCCCAAGCCTGAGTTCAAGTCCAGGAATGGCACAAAAGAAAGAAACCTAGCTGGGTATGGTGTGGAGGTGTCACAGTGCATACCAGCCGTTTATTTCCTTGGGGAGTACCTTGCTGATTAGATTTTGCTCTACAGCTTTATAAGGAATAATTCAATTATATAAAATAGATCCACTTTAATTAAACAAAGGAGTCAATGGTTTCTTGTGAATGCAGGAGTGTGTACCCACAACAATCCTACAAAAATCCCAGTGTCCGGGCAGTAACCCAGACCTGCCATATCCATGGGTCTGGGAATGTTCTGGGCCTCTGAGATGATTTTATTCTCTCAGCTGTCTCAGTCTGTGTGGCCTTTAATAACAAAAATACCTGACATGAGTGGTTTATAAAGAACAGGCGCGTCTCATTCACAATTCTAGGGGCAGGGACCCTGCAGTCATGGCGTCTGGCGAAGGCCAGGCCCTGCAGACGTGGCATCTGGTGAAGGCCAGGCCCTGCAGACGTGGCATCTGGCGAAGGCCAGGCCCTGCAGACGTGGTGTCTGGCGAAGGCCTGGCCCTGCAGACATGGTGTCTGGCGAAGGCCAGGCCCTGCAGACGTGGTGTCTGGTGAAGGCCAGGCTCTGCAGACGTGGTGTCTGGTGAAGGCCTGGCTCTGCAGACGTGGTGTCTGGCGAAGGCCTGGCCCTGCAGACGTGGTGTCTGAAGGCCAGGCCCTGCAGACGTGGTGTCTGGCGAAGGCCTGGCCCTGCAGATATGTTGTCTGGTGAAGGCCAGGCCCTGCAGACGTGGTGTCTGGCGAAGGCCTGGCCCTGCAGACGTGGTGTCTGGTGAAGGCCAGGCCGTAGACTATGCTTTCTTGCAGCGCACTCTTAAGGGCTCGAGGCCCCTCCAGGAAAACCCCGGCACAGGAACTGCCACCTCCCGCCACCTGGCCTCCTAATGCTGGCCACTTCTCTTTTTTTTTTTTTTTAAAATATAGAATATTGGAGTCTTTATTATACAGTTATTAGGCTGCAGGCAGCCAGTTGTTAAAAGGTCTGCAGCACACAAATACACATAACACAGCTAGGAAACATGCTAAAGAGTAAAGAAATAACAAGAACAATACCAACAAGCCAATTCAGCTCCAGTGGAGAGCTGAATTGGGACTCGATGGTGACTGGAGACAGCCAGGAGGCAGGACACAGGACAAGATCACAGAGACACTCGTGGCATGGAGTCCTGGCGGTAGGCTGGTCCGGGCCTAAATAGATCAGTGCAGGAGGCAGATCCTCAGGACTCTGGCCACTTCTAACTAGGTTCCAATACACAAATGTTGGACCCCAGCCACTGGTGGAATACATCGCTACAGATTTTTTTTTTTTGGGTCCGGTCGTGGGACCTTAACTCTGGGCCTAGGCACTGTCTCTCAGCTCTTCAGCTCAAGGCTAGCACTCTACCACTGAGCCACCTTCCCAGCCCGCTGCAGATTTTTTTGTCATTAAAAACATGTTCAACATAAAGAAACTTAAAAGAAGCTCTTTCCTATGGGATACAGAATCACTGCGCACGCCCGTCGGTCACTGAAATCCCCACATGAAGGTTTTGCTTGAGTCCTCACGGAGGAGGGCGGGGCCTTCTGGTGAGTCCTGCCAGCCAGGGCCCTGCAGGCTTGCGGCCCAAGAGCCAACGCAGGCAAAGTCTCAGGACTTTGATAACAATGCTGCATAGTAGAACACAGACCAAGCTGGCACACTCCTGTTGGAGCTGTCACAAATGACACATCACTTCTCCATGCTTCAAATGGTGGCAAACAGACACTATCACCTTAGAGTCAACACAAAGGAGTTGGGGCCGGGCTGGGAAGTGGCTCAGTGGTAGCGTGCTTGCCTCACATGCATGAGGCCCCGGGTTCGATTGCTCAGCACCACATAAAAAAGCTGGAAGTGGTGCTATGGCTCAAGTGTAGAGTGCTAGCCTTGGGCTGAAGAGCTGAGGGACAGCGCCCAGGCCCAGAGTTCAGGCCCCACGACTGACAAAAAAAAAAAAAACAAAACAAAGGAGACGAGGCCAAAGAAGCAAGCCAACTGCTTCCAAGCCTGGAGAAGTGAGGCTGCAGCCTTCCCAGCCCAGTGAGCTTAGAGACCTGACACACTTTTCCACTGCTCAGGTCTCGCCCACTCCAAGGCACTAGCGCCACCGCGCGCAGCCTCCTGCTCTGGCTCCGGCTCCTGCTCAGCAGCCCAGCCCTTCTCGAGGTGCCTCACCTTGCACAACTTGGTGGCTCCGCAATTTCCTTCTGAGATACTGAGACTCCTTTTCTTTCTCACTAAAGATAAAACCACAGCGCCCTTGGGAAGCAGCCGCACCTCGAAAGCAGATGGGAAAACCCACCCGCTCACTTCGGCAGCCCCTGGCCTCACGGCCCTCCACGCAGGGCCCGGCCGCCTCCTCCGCACCACCAGCACCACCCGTTCTTCCGGGTGGGAGTCCTCAGCACGCCCCACCCCAGTACCTGCACTGGCCGGGCACTGGGGTTGCACAAGAAATGGGGACACACAGCATACTCACCTCAGCGTGGCAAGGGCCTGCCGTGGGTGCCCAGAGTCGGGGAGCCTGGCATCCCCCGGCTGAGGAAGCTTGCCAGCGGTGTGCTCACCCAAGCCCGAGCCCGCCCTCCACCCTGTGGACAGGATTCGGAGGCAGGGCCTCCCGAAGGTGATTGGGCTCAGATCAGGTCACAAGACAGAACTAGTGTCCTTAAGGGAAAAGCCAGACACTGGTGGCTCACACCAGTAATCCTAGCTACCCAGGAGGCTGAGATCTGAGGATTGAGGTTCAAAACCAGCCACGGCAGGAAAGTCCATGAGACTCTTATCTCCAATTAGTCACAAAAAAAAAAAGGAAGTGGAGCTGGTAGAGTGCTAGCCTTGAGCGCAAAAGTGCCCAGGCTCTTGAGTTCAAGCCCCAGGACTGGGAGGGAGGGAGGGAGGGAGGGAGGGAGGGAGGGAGGGAGGGAGCACAAAAGCAGGGACAGTGCCCAGGCTCTCAGTTCAAGCCCCAAGACCAGGAGGAAGAGAGGAAGAAAGGGAGGGAGGGAGGGAGAGAGAGAGAGGGAGGCGGGGGGGGGCCCCCTTGCTGCCCACCCCCCCAATGGCACTGAAGGCCACAGCAGAGGCAGCCATCTAGGAACCTGCTCCTGGGCAGCTCTGGAGCGGGCCGACGCGCGAAGCCATCTGTGGCAGGCATCCGGAGCGCCACACCACCTTCCTTCCTCTGGACCACCACTTCCATGTGCAAAATTTGTGATGCGGCACACTTCACCAAAATGCTGCAGCAATCTGACACTGTAGCCAACCGGACCCCACGCCGGGTGTGGGGAGCAGGGCTCCAGCTGACCGTCCTCTCCAAGCCCCGCTGGAATGGCAGCACATGGCCACACAGGATGGGTCCTGCAGATACAGGGAGGCCCCTGACCCAGGGCACTGGCACCGGAGACCCAGGAAGGTGCGGGTGAGCCCACAGCGTGCACTGCAGGGAGAGAGCCAGAGCCCGCCCTCTCCCTCCATCTCCAGCTGCCCTCGCCCCGGCCCTCACCGGGCTTCAGCTCAACCCCAGCCCACCCGGTTTCTCTGAGACTGACCCAGGGATGGCTCCCGCCATACCGCCCGCCCTTCCCAGGGTCTTCTGGGGTCACTGTCTGTTGGGTGAGCAAGAGAAAGAACAGGAGACAGATGCTCGGCTGTCACATGATAACACGCCAACTCCACACCGATGAGGAAGCAGCTAATTCTCCCTGAGGACAGGGAGCACCTCACACCCCAAACATGATGGCCAGAAAGCAGCCAGGCAGCTAGGACCAGCCCGCACAGGGAGAGCAGACAGGCAGGCAGGCAGACAGATAGACAGATGCAATGCTCTTCCAGGGACCCAGCTCCAGCAGTCAGGCCGGGCTGCGTGACACACGTCTCCAGGAATGGCTGCTGCCAGCGCCGCGCTGGTCCCAGTGCAGCGGAGACCACGTCAGCCGTCCCAGGGCAGATCAAGGGTGTCCAGGGATCTGGGGCAGAGAAGGGGTGCTCACTCTAGCCTGCCATCACTGAGCCAAGAAAAAGAGGGGACCTCAGTGCCGCGCCGCCCGCAGCCTGCCCCGGGGGACAGGCTTTGCCCGCAGCAGGGTGCATCGCTGCCGCTCAGCAAGGCAGTGCGTCCCCTGGGCTCCCGTCTGGGGCGCCGTGCCGTGGATGGCATCACGCCACGGTGCACCCCCCACATGCCCTCTTGGTGGGGACAGTGCCACATGGCCTTGACCCCCAGCGGAGTGTCTGAGCCAAGGCTGCGGCGGGGCCTCCTCACAGCCAGGCCTTCCTGCCCCTCCTGCCGCCCTAGCCCCACGCACGGGGCATTCCTCCACGGCCTGCGCCCACGCTGGGGACGGTGCCGATGGCGTTTAGTCCAAAAGACACAGAGCTCACAGGTCAGGAGCGGGAATCACATGGCTTGGGAGCGCAGCATCCAGGGGAACCCCACTCGAGGCCCCCAAACAGGCTTTGGCCTGCAACTGAATAGATTCTCCCCATGAGCACCTTCTGCTGGGCCTGCCGCCCCACGGCGTGGACACTGCTGTCCCCCGCAGCACCAGCGGCACTGGCCTGACCCTGTGAACGCTGCCCGCAAGGCCGACAAGCCACCGGAGGACGAGCCAAGCAAAGCAGCTCCAGAAGCAGACCAGAGGAGCGCGCTCCCGCGCCTGCGGTCCCGGCCCTGCCCTCAGCTCCGGCCGGCCTGACCCCTCCCCAGCACCCACAATCCACCCCGCGGCCGGCCCTCCACCCAGCAGCCCAGGCAGATGGAGCCAGGGGCCTCGGGCGAGCCACAGAGCTGACCCACCGGCAGTTCCAAGTGTCTGGGGCTCCACGTCAGTGCCCAGGAAGAGGCAGACAAGGCTCTACCTCCCTAGGAAGGTCGTGTGAGGGCAAACGACTCGGCAGGGCCAGCAGCATTGGCCCATGAGGCTCCAGGAGTCTGGCACTGGCAGATTCAGTGATCTCCCCTGGGCTCTGGAAGGTTCTGGAGCCCCTTAAAAAGTCCGAGGTGAGCTGGGCACTGGTGGCTCACGCCTGGAATCCTATTACTCAAGAAGCTGAGATCTGGGGCTGGGAAGGTGGCTCAGTGGTAGAGCGCTTGCCTTGCATGCCTGAGGCCCTGGGTTCGATTTCTCAGCACCACATAAGCAAAAAGAAAAAAGCCGGAAGTGGCGCTGTGGCTCAAGTGGTAGAGCACTTAGCCTTGAGCTGAAGAGCTGAGGGACAGCGTCCAGGCCCAGAGTTCAGGCCCCATGACCGGACCCAAAAAAAAAAAAAAGAAACTGAGGTGGGCCTCAGCAGAAACCAATCCTCCTACCTTAACTTTGCACTTTCCAGACTCCAAAATCGTGAGAAAGAACCATGTATGGTGTATACATTACCCAGCCTGTGGTCTTTTGCTACAGCAGCACCAATGTCTGTTCGACAGCGTCTAACGGGCCTGGCCCTAGGCTCAATGACCCAAAGCCGCTCACTAACCGTGGAGAAGGCAGTGCGACGATGGACGGTGGCGCTGCCAGCTCCTCCCCAGCTGACACCTGGGGCCTGAGGACGGCACTCAAACGCCCTTCACCCCAGCTGCCAGCTGCCGGGACTCCCTGGAGCCCCGCGCGGCTCGCGGCCTGCGGGCTTGCCCTGCAAATGAGCCCCAAGGCTAGGCTGAAAGAAAGAGCCTCAAACGCACTCAAGTTCACCCAGGCGAGGTGCTCCAGGCACACCCTGCTTCTCTGACCCTCTGGGCAGGCCTCTCCCACTGTGATGGACTCTGGACATAATCGACTGAGCAGGTTAATGACCAGACATGAGCTGTGGCTTGGGAGACTTCATCTCTGGGCCAGGGCGCTGTCCCTGAGCACTTTTTGCTGAAGACTAGCACTCTACCACTTTAAGCCACAGCTCCATTACCAGTTTTTGAGTGGTTAATTGGAGATAATCTCAGGGGGACTTTTCTGCCTGGGCTGGCTTTGAACCACTGTCCACAGATTTCAGCCTCCGGTGCTGGTGACCTGTGATTATCATTCTTCAGTCAGTCATCATCAGCCTGAATGGGCATGCAGGTAAGTCAACATTCTTGGACAGGGGAAGCACAGGAGGACACCCCGTTACAGTTTTCTTCTCCACCCCCTTCCCCCAGTTCTACGGTACTCTATCTGCAAATGCTGGACAGAGCAGCCAGAAACTCCAGCTCTCCGGCCCCAATTCCTTTACAACACACAAATGCTGGTTATCCCGCAGGATGCCAGTGACTCACATCTGTAACCCCAGCTGCACTGCACAGGAGGCTGAAATCTGAGGATCATAGTTCAAGGCCAACCCATGCATGAAAATCTGAGACTCTTGTTCAACACTATTCAACCTTTCTTTGTGGCCTAACTACTTACTATACATGCAAGAAAAGCAACTGTAATCCCTACATCTGGGAGGCTGAGATGGAGGGACATGAGTCACGGGCCAGCCTGGGCTCTATCGTGCGATCTTATTTCAAAAAAACCAGGCACTCAGGCCTGTCATCCCAGCTACTCAGGAGGCTGAGATCTGAGGATCGAGGTTTGAAGCCAGCTAAGGCAGGAAAGTCCACGAGACTCTTATTTCCAATTAACCAGCAAAAAGCCAGACATGGAGTTGTGGCTCAAGTGATGAAGTTTTGGCCTTGAGTGAAAAAACCAAGCAAGAGCATGCGGCCCTGACTTCAAGCCCCGTGCCAGACAAAAAAGTCAGTAACGTTCTAGAAATTTAAAAAAAGGGGGGCTGGTAAGGTGGCTCAGAGATAGAGTGCTTGCCTTGCATGCATGAGGCCCTGGGTTTGAATCCTCAGCACCACATAAGCAAAAAAGAAAAAAGCTGGAAGTGGTGGTGTGGCTCAAGTGGTAGAGCGCTAACCTTGAGCTGAAGAGCTGAGGGACAGCGCCCAGGCCCAGAGTTCAGACCCCACGACAGGACCCCCCCCCCCCCAAAAAAAAAAGAAAATTTAAAAAAATACAAGCTCTTCAAGGACAGCCCTGCTTCCTCACCTCCTGGGGCCCTCAAAGCCCTGGGAAAACTGGCTCTGCATCTAAACACCTTTGCTTGGTGAATGAGCAGGAAATGTACAAAGACGCCCGTGAGTGCATGTTTTGCATACACACATACACACCCACATTCGGCCACCCTTTCCCAAATATGGCCAGCACGGCCAGATGGACTGCAGGCTAGGACCTAACTTACCACTAGTTCTGTGATAAGGCCTTCTCAACTGCACCCTGAATGAAACCGGACAGCACAAGGAAAGGCTCGGCCCTACTCCCTCCCTTTCAGACTGAAAGGCTGAGCTGCTTCGGGAAGCAGGAAGACAGATAACCAGGGTCTTTTTACTTGCCTCCCACCTCAGCGGGTCCCAACAGCGCCCCCTACCGGCTGCACAACACAAGTTCTTCCACTGTAGGTGAAGGTTTCCATTCAGCAAGGAGCTGCTTTGCACCCCAAAGAGCCCTGGGGCCGGCTCTATCCACCTTCAGTCCCCTGACAAGCGAGGGTTACCTTTAACAAGCAACTTGTCTCTCACGGAAACTCTCCGCGTGGAGTCAGACGCAGCAGCAGCTGTCCGGGGCCCTTTGAGACCGTCATCTCGCTTCAGTTTGCTTGCCAGCGTTAGCATTACTACCACCTTTACTCTGGAAGACAGGGCGAGAGCGAGGTGAGCAGTGCGGTTCTGAATTCTCTAAAACTGGTTACAGGAAACTTTACACACATCGGGGTAAGCTCTCTAGCATAAGCAGGGATTTTAAAAGGGAGAGTCCAGAACCTCACGCTCACTGGACACCCACCCACTGGTGTTCTGCCTGGGGATTTTGTGGTGCGTGTGATCGGAGCCTGGTCTACAGCTCCACCAATATAGGAAGGGGACCCAGCAGCAACCTGGGGGCCACTCAGGAGGGAGAGGGGGAGCAGTGGCAGCCAGGGGATGTGGGGAGAAGGCGCCGCAATGCCTGGCTTTCCTTCCGTCCTTGGCAGAGGGGCACAGAGCCTCAAAGAACCTTTGCATTTGTCTATGCTTTGCTTCATTTACATCCTTTTTTTCTGGTGCCAGTCCTGGGCTTGAACTCAGGGGCCCGGGCACTGTCGCTAAGCTCCTTTTGCTCAGGGCTACTGCTCTACCTGAGCCACGGTGTGGACTTTTTTTTTTTTTTTCTTTTTGTAGTTTATCGGAGATAAGAGTTTTATGGACTTTCCTGCCCCAGCTGGCTTCAAACAGTGATACTCACATCTCAGCCTCCTGAGGAGGCTAGGAGGAGGCCTTGAACCAACAGCACCCAGCTTTTACTTAAATCCTTTGTGGTAACAGCAATCATGAGCAGCATATAATTATTGTCTCTCACTAGATTCTCTTCACTGGCTGTTTTGGGCCTGTGTGACTCAAGTTCTCACTAAAAACTCCCCAGGAAGGAAGGCAAAGCCCAAACACGGGAGACACCCAACTACCCACAAGAAGGAACAAAAAATGCCACTGACCTTTTGTTAAGACTTAGAGTTTTTGTTTTTTAATTAGAGCAGTTTTAGACTCACAGCAACGTGGGACAGAAGGCGTTTCCCACGGTGCCCTCCGCCCTTTCTCCGGACAACACCCCCTCCCACCAGAGACATTCATTTGTTCCACCTGAGCATATGTGGCTACACTGTTGTTACCCAGAAACCACAAGATACATTATTAGCTGGTGGCCAATTCCAACAGGGGAGTTTCAACATAAACTTCATTGAACGGATACTCTGACTTGCCCACACTCCACCACACCTGTTCAATACATCCATAATTCAATTCCTTTCTTTAGTATCATTCTTTTGGTGGCTGACGCTCAACCTCTGTGCTACAACTTCCACTTCTCAATACCATTTCCTCTCAATACCATTTCCTCCTAAAATGTGATGATCACATGTCACACAAGTGAATTATGTGACCTAAGCACAGAAGCTATAGCTGGACACTAAGACACCAAAAGCCAAAATATAAAAATCCTCTTTTTAAACCATCTTAACCCAGGCTTCTTGCAAGCCTCTCACACTATTTTCACACTATTTTCCGCGTATCTCTCAAAAGACTTGTGTAAAAAAAACAAGACATGAGGACAATACTTGGTCTTTGCCATACCAAAGGCTGCCATGTTGAGCATGGTGACACACCTGTAACCCCAGCCCTCAGGAGACAGAGGGAAGATCAAGAGGTTTGGAACACCCTGGGCCAGACAGCAAGTCCCTTATCTTAAAACACAAAACACCACCACCACCACCACCACAAAAACACCCAGTCAGCAGCGGTGCAAATGCTTAAAAACACAGCAGCACCACACATCAGTGTGTGTGCAAAGAACTTCTAAGTCTGGGAAAGGCTCCTAGCCCTACCCATCCCGCGTCTTTTACCAAGCACACGGGGCAACGTGCCCAGAGGGGAGAATCCTGGGCTAGCAGCAGCACCACACAAACTCTTGCTCCATCTAGAGGATCTAAATGAAGGCCAAGGCTGATGGGCCACACTTATTACTATGCCTCAATAAAGTTGAAAAAAATGAAACCAAGCTGGGTATTGGTGGCTCACATCTAATCTAGCTACTCAGAAGGCTGAGATCTGAGCATCCCATTTCAAAGCCAGCCTGGGCAGAAAAGTCCATTGTCTCCAATAAGCCACCAAAAAGCCAGAAGTGGAGCTGTGGCTCAAGTGGTAGGGCACAAGCCTTGAGGGAAAGGCTAAAGGACAGTGCTCAGGCCCTCAGTTCAAGTCCATTACTGGGAGTTTGAATGCACATGCGCGCACATGCACATGCATACGTGCATGCACACACATATGCAGTGAAAACATGCTGCTAATAATTTTTCTAGTCCTACTCTGCTCTGCCTTCTCGTGGGGAGCTGCGTGGAGGCTGGCCGGCTGTGAACACGTCCTCACCCCTGGCAGGTGGTGTCACTTCATGAGGAGATGGTGAGGGCGCTCCTAGGGACTTCAGCCCACAGCTGCCCAAGCTCTCCAGCCTGCACACCCCCATGATCTGTCAGGGACCCTTCAAGGGGTTCCCGGACCACACCGTGGCGTTTGTACCAGAGCCAGGCCCCTGCCTGGGGTCCCACCCCAGCTGAGCCAGGCCCGGCCTGTGTCTAGACTGGGGCCTCTCTGTCCCCTACACCCTGTGGACACCAGCTGGTGGCCCTCAGGCTGCGTCCTTCAACTGGGGATTAGTCTGAGACACGGTGCCCACAGGGACCACCAGGTTTTTAATCCTCTGCTCACTTCAGTGTGAGAACAGAACAGTGTAAAGTCAGTCAAAACCAAGGGACCACAGTGTGGCACTCCAGCTCCCGGAAGTCCCGCACAGAATGGGAGGAGGACCTGCTTAGAGTGGGGCATGGCCAATCCAAGCCCGACCGCCCCCACTGCAGTCTGCGGTGTGGCAGAGCCTCACTCAATGCCCAGGATGGCGGCCTCCTGGCTGGCTATATCCCATAGATTTGTGGTCCTTCCTAAATACACTGGCACTGGCTGCAAGTACAAAAAAAAGAACACATTGGCGCTTTGCCTTCCGTGGAAAATGGTAGAAACTCACTGTTCTAACATTCTAACTTGAGCATAGAGTGATCGCTGCTGTGGTCACCGGAATCACCATATGCCCCTCTAGGGACAAACCAAGGGTCTGAAGAACCCGCCAGCACGGGGACTCAGGCAGAGATAATGATCTGAGCTCTGGGGCTGGTGAGCGTGGCCGCCCTTCCATACCCCGCACCACTTCAAAGCCAGGTCTGAAGCCACACTTCCCATTTCCCCAAAACCACGCGCTCAGAGTGCGCAGCATGTGGGGCCAGATGGGCTCTTCTCAGGGGCGCGCTGCGTCTCGAGGTCCTACAAGTTGCCATTGGCCCGGTGAGCTTCCTCCGGGGTGGACGGGCCTCCCGGGTCGCGGGCCTCGGGAGCGGCGTGGCCAGCATTCCCGTGCGGGGCGCGGGGGCCGCCAGCCCGGGGTGCGGGGTCGCCCCGCACTCACAGCTCTCGCCGCCAAGGAGATGTCTCAACAGGAGACGTGGAACGCGGGTCACCAGAGCGGTGGGCTTCCCCTCCCCCGGCCCCCGGGGCCCGGATCGGGACACGGAGCCCACGCCCGCCACGCGCGGCCCGGGAACCGCCTTGGGGCTCGGCCTTCTTCACTCCCACCAGTTACCGCGCCCCTCCGGCTAGGCCCCGCGCCCGCCCGGGTGGCAGGTCCGCGGTGCGTCCCAGGGGTAGGGGGGAGAGCACGCGTCCCGGTCCGGGGAGAGGGGGGGAGGCCTGCGTCCCGTTCGTGGGGGGGAGCACGCGTCCCGGTCCGGGGAGAGGGGGGGAGGCCTGCGTCCCGTTCGTGGGGGGGGAGCACGAGTCCCGGTCCGGGGAGAGGGGGGGAGGCCTGCGTCCCGTTCGTGGGGGGGAGCACGAGTCCCGGCCGGGGGGGGAGGAGGAAGGCCCGAGTCGTGGGGGGGAGGGGGAGGCCCGCGTCCGGGTCGGGGAGCACGCGTCCCCGGGTGGGGGGGAAGGAGAGGGAGGCCCGCGTCCCGGTCTGCGGTGTGTGGGGTGCGGGGAGGCGGGGAGGCCTCCAGCCCCGCCGCCAAGCTCGCTCTACAGCTCCCGCCTCCAGCCCTCGGCCCAGCGGGAATCCCGCACCAGGCGGCCGGCCTCCCCGCCCCGGCTCCACTCCGTGCCCGGGCCGTCTGACGGACGGGTCCCGGCCCCCCCGCGACGCCCCCCCTCTGGGAGAGCAGGGCCCCTCCGCGCTCGGGGGACCCGACCCGCCTCGGCCGCGACCCACGGGGACACCGAGCGCGGGGAGGGGCGGCCACACCCGATCGCTCCCCGCCCGCCCCGGCCGCCGTCCCCGCCCCGGCCGCCGTCCCCGCGGCCCCGCCGCCCGCCTCGCCCGCCGCCCGGCCTAGCGCGGCCCCGGCTCCCGCTGCCCCCGGCCCGTCGGCGCGGTGACCTTGCCCGGCGCCCCGCGGGCCGCGTCGCCGCCGCCACGCCCGGCGGGCCCGGCCCGGCCCGATCCGCGGCGCCCGCCACCCGGTGGAGCCGTCGCCCGCCGCGGGCCGCTCGGGTCGCGGGACCTGTCGGCCCGGGCCCGGCCCCGCGTCCGGCAGGAGAGCCGGCGGCCTAGGCGGGGCGGATCGCCGCCGCGACCCCCGCGCGCGGTTCCCCGACCGCGCGGCCCGCTCACCTCAGCACCCCGAGACAGGCGAGGCGGGCCGGCGCCCAACACCATGCCCGGCCGGCGGCGGCGGCGAGACGCGGGCCTAACAGCCGCACCGGCTCCCGGCGGCGGGACCGGAAGTGGCGGGGCGGAGACTCCGCCGCTCTCGCCCGCGGCGACCGAGAAGACGGCGGGCACTTTAAAAAAAAAAATTCAAAGCCGCCGAGAACTTTATTTGCACTCCGACGTGCGAACAGCTGCGCGCGCCGGTGGGGGCGGGGCCGGGCGACAGCTCCGACCTCGCTCATTGGCTCAGGGCGGGGCCTGGGGGCGGGCAGGACCCAAGCCCTCGGTGATTGGCCAGTGCTGGCTGGGGCGGGGTCTCCCGTGGAGTCCGAAGCAGGCGCGCGGGAGAACGGGAGTTCTGCGTGGACGCTCGGGGTGGGGGCCGGGACCCCCGCGTGGCCGCGCGAGGGGCCGTGGCCACGTCGGAACCGGGCCCTCACGTGGGTGGAGCTGGGCTCCCGCGTGGGCCGAGTGCCGTCTGTGCGCCCAGCCCGGTGTCGCAATGCTAGTGACCGGGCGGAGCGGTGCGGGGGTTAAGGGCGTGGGGCGTGAGACGAGCCGCGGCCACGCGGAGCCGCGGCCACGCGGGGCCCCGAGTGATTGGCGGTGGCCCGGCTCCGGCCGGCCGAGGCAGTGATGCTCTGTTTTGCTGCCGGGAGCAGGGGTTGAACTCAGAGCCTGGAGCTTGCTTGCCCCCCCCTTGAGCCACACCCCCAGCGCGTGGACGACGTCTTTCCGTGCCTTTCTGTTTGTGGGACTGGGGAACCGAACCCGGGACCTGGCACATAGCCAAGCACAGGCTCTACCACTAAGCTACATTCCCCAGATCCTAGGCCTTCGTTCTGAAAGAGGCCCTTGGATCTGAGTGGGCTGGCGAGAAGCGGGCCAGGGCCGGGAGAGCCAGGAGTCAGCCAAACCCTTAGTAACCGTCGGGATCCACCCTGGCTGTCCGAGGGGACCACGCGGAGGCAGCCACGCACAGGGGAAAGGTCAGGACCGACCTCCTCCTGGGGGTCTCGGTGCTCGCTGCTGGGCATTCACGGGGTTTGAACTCAAGGCCTGGGCACTGTACCTGAAGGCTTCTGCTTGAGGCTAGCCCTCTACCACTTAGGGTGGTATCACAGTGCCACTTCCAGTCTTTGGCTGGTTACTTAGAGATGAGAGTCTCTCCAGCCTGGCTCTTTGCTGGCTAGTCAGGGGATGGAGTTTTAGAGGGATTTTTTTTTTTTTCTGCTGGGCTAGCTTTGAACTGTAATCAAAGGAGTCTTTGCCACAAAAGCCCTTTTTGTTTCCAATTAAAGTAACAAGAAGACCAAAGGAGATAGAGCCTACCTGTAACTTGTTAACGATTGACCAACCACTAGGTACCGCCCAGTGCCGCCTGTTTTAAAACAGTTTAATGTAAGGATTACAAGCATCAGCATTGTGCCAAGAATCCAAACTTAGCATGTTTTGCTGTTTACCAAAATGTTTGTAATTTCACAATAGCACAGAAACCAAATCACATCATTTCTTTTGCTCATACCTTCCTTATGGTCTAACTTGTGGGGGTTAACACTACCTGAGGGTGGAAGAAAACACAAATCAGGACGATGCAAAAGTCTAGCTTCAGTGGATCTGAAGCTTCCCAAATCAGCAGGCCTTAGTTGTGAGTGATGCAGCCAGGCGGGACCCAGCCTGTTACCCCGGTGGAGGTAGTGGGGAGGGCACAGATGGTTAAAGACATCTCGCAGTATTTTTGTTTACACTGAGTGCATTGGCTTTTGCAGGCTGGTGCTCACTGGTTTAGGCAAGGTGACAACTTTGTTTTGTTCCCTGGGCATTCTCCCATGCGTGAGAGCAAACTGCACCCTGAGTCACTACTAGCATGGAAAATGTGTTCGGGGTGGCCACAGTCTGTGACCCAGAGCACCCACACTTACTCCACAATGGCTCTGGTTCCTTGATCTTAAAGGGAGCTAATAGAGCATAGGAGAGAAAATGGAGAAACAACTGTAGCCTATTTTACCGGGGGGGGGGGGGGGGGGGGGGGGGGGGGGGGGGGGTAGGGTGCCAGGATTAGATGCACAGCAATTAACTTTTAGCCTAGCTGGACATAAGGAATGACATAAATCACAGCAAACTTAGTTACCAACTTCTTTCATATTTGAACCCTTTTGGAGTTTGCACTTTCCAAAGGAAACCATTTTTGTTTTTACAACTCCTTTCCCAAGGTGTTAAAACTGCCTGTTTCCCCCCCCCCCACCCTTTGGCTGGTAGTCAGGTGATCGCTAAAGCAACTCAGATTAGGTTTATATCACAGCTTCCATTGATAAAAATCTTTTTTTGGGGGGGGGTCTGGTCGTGGGGCCTGAACTCTGGGCCTGGGCGCTGTCCCTCAGCTCTTCAGCTCAAGGCTAGCGCTCTACCACTTGAGCCACAGCACCACTTCCGGCTTTTTTCTTTTAGCTTATGTGGTGCTGAGGAATCGAAAGCCCTCTACCACTGAGCCACCTTCCCAGCCCTGATAAAAATCTTTAACAAGCAGAACACTTGGTGGTTACAAGGTTTACATTAGTTACATTTGTAGTTGAAAGCAAGTAACTGAAACCGTCATGCCAGTTTTACATATTTTACATATAGACAGACATGTTTGTTAGGGTGTGCATAGATTTCTTAATATTGGCCGGCTAAGATTTTTGGAATTTTAGTGGCAAAATGATATTATTCTTCCAGATCATGTTGGAACCACGTGGTCGGTTAAAAAACAAAAACTTTGTTCTTTATTAACCACCCAGTCCCCAGTATTGTGTTGCAGCAGCGCAGAAGGGACGGAGGCAATGCAAGACCACTGGTTCTTCCTGCAGGTGGGTTTCGTTCCGAGGCCTCTTTTCCTGAGTGTGGGCAGCTGCTGTCCCTTTTCTCTGTGAGCAGGCAGTGAGCTCTGGCTCAGGTGTTACCTCTGGGTCTCATCAGCTTGAGATATCACCTGAATGACTCCTGGGAAACTCCACCCCCAAATACAGCCACACCGGAGGTGAGGAGGTGAGGATGCAAACCTGACTGAGGGAAGCAGGCCGGGTCATAACACCCAGTAAAGCCATGGGGGGGGGCTGTGCTCTCCGCCCCCTCCTGTGAGGCCTGCGCTCCTCAGTCTCCCCCCCTACTCCCCCCCCCCCCCCCCAGGCAGTGCCTGGCTTTGCCTCAGCGCTCTGCTTCAGGTAGAACCTGCTGCTGGCTGGGCTTTTCCTTCGGGACACAATGTCCACTGCTACCCTCCCCTCCCAACAAGACCTCGGCATTATTCCTAAAGCAACCCTTATTTCATGACCTAGGAACAGCCCAGAAGATTGGATGTGGAGTAAACGTGGGAGGGAACTATCTGGGTTGTTCCAGATTATTCTAAGGCTCACACCTGCCCACTAGCCAGGCACCATGTTCCTGTGAAGTAGGGTTCAGGACTCCTGAAAGCAGGCTTTACTGTATGCAGTGACACTGACCATATCCTCACCTCCAGCCAGGCATGGTGGTATGCGCCCACAGTCCCAGCATTCAGCAGACTCAAGCAGAAGCATCCTGAGTTTAAGGCCACTCTAGACTGCCTACAAGACCTGGTCTCCAAAATAGTAGATTTTCTGATGGTGCTTTCTGTTACTAGAAGCCAAGAACGAGGGTTCCAGGGCCTCGCCCCCTAGGGAGAGGAAGGTGATGAGCTAGCAGGGGCTGTGATGTCTCGGGGCCCCAGGGGCAGGAGGTAGGTGACCCAAGACTCAGGGCTGGGACCCCTTCTGCCATGAGTGGGGATGGACTTCCTGCACTTGGTAGATGGGGCGGGTCTCACACTGTCATTTGGTGAGGGGCTTCCCTGGCAGCTGCTCACCACACCCCAGGAAGCATGGCTTTCAAGGACACCGCTGGTGTAAGTCACCTCTGACTGACCAGCCTCGGCTTTCGTGTGCTCTTTCCCAGAATAATGAAGTGAGCTGCAATGTTCCTTGGAAAAGGCCTGGCTCCACCTAGTGTTTAAACCTTGCACTGGGAGGCAGAGCACTGAGGCTCTCTTCACAGTTCCAAGCCAGTTGGGGCAGGAAAGTCTGGGAGACTTTTATCTCCAGTGAAGGAGCAAAAATCCAGAGTGGATCCAAGAAGCCAGCAGTAGAGCACTAGCCTTGAACAAGAAAAGCCATGTAAGGGCTTGAGGCCCTGAGTTCAAGCCCCAGTACCAATGCACATGCATGTATTCACATGTGCACACACACAGTATAGGGTTTAAATTGTACCATGTGCCATACAGCAACAAAAAGCACCTTTTCCAAGGACTGGGATAGACACAGAGCAGCTCGGTGAGCGTGTAAGTGCTGCCTGCAGTCTCGGCTGAGCCTCTGCGGGCTCACTGCCCCTGCTCCCCACCCCTTCCCAGCTGCTTGTCACCTCAGGCTGGCAACACCCCGCATGGGTGCCGAGTGCAAGATAAGCCACCACCCACTGCAGCCTGCCTGCAAGACATTTGCTATCTTGCTGGAGAAGGCTAAAATGGCCTGTCTTCCTCTCCCCCACTCTGCAGTTCAGAAAGGTCACTGACATGGCTAGCGACTCCGTCCAGGTTCCAGGGATCAAAGGCAGCTGGTCAAAAGCATGACCAGTTGTAGTAAAGGACTTCACCTATGGCCAGAAATGGCCGAGGGGCCAGGGGCGTTAAGCAGCTGTGCGAGGCGGGCTGAATAATGCCTTCCAAAAAACATCCTTGTCCTCTGTCTATGTTGTTTTACTTAGAGCTCCCCTATGACCCAGCAATCCCACTTTTGGGCATTTACCCGAATGATCACAAACAAGACCACACTAAAGCTACCAGCACAAGTATGTTTATTGCAGCATTATTTACCATAGCTAAGATATGGAACCAACGCAGATGCCCCTCAGTAGATAATGGATCAAGAAAATGTGGTATAAATATATACAATGGGATTCTATGCCTCCATCAGAAAGAATTTGCCCCATTTGTTAAGAAATGGAAAGACGGGGCTGGGAAGGTGGCTCAGTGGTAGAGCGCTTGCCTTGCATGCCTGAGGCCCTGGGTTCGATTCCTCAGCACCACATAAGCAGAAAAAAAAAG